ATCGTCACTTTTTCTGTTACAAACTGACTCCAGCCCCCCACCAGAGAAGGGAAAGTTATGTAGCCCTCGCAGCAAAATGTTTGGGGACCCCTGATCTAGATGAATAAGACGCAGGTAATCATTTTTACAACGATTAGCTCATCAGGAAGGACGGCTGTGTGTTTGACCCACTGCAGGTGGGAGACAGAAGGACTCTAAATAAAATGACATCACTAATCACGTCTTTAATTTGGTTTGAATTAGTTTTCTATCTAGAATCTTCAAATCTCCATTTCATCCTCAGTGGTTCGATTACAGCAGCTGCTGCATGTGACCAGGAGGTTGCGCAATAACTCGGTTCAGACACAATCACAGCCTGGATATAAACATCAGCAGCAGGAAATGGCAAACGATTTCGAATCATTCTGAAGTTGTATAAAATCACTTTTATCAATTTTACAATCTTTTTCACACGACTCTCAGAAAATGAACTTTTTTCCAAAATTAGAAATAAATATTCAACCTCCTCAAGCTGCATAATTCAATTTCTCAGCAAAACAAAAACTAGAAGAAAAGCAAACTGACATCTGGAGTGAGACCTGATGTTTTAAACCATGTTAATATTCTAAGTTAAACAAACTGAATATTTTCTCCACAATAGCAGGTGTTGGATTCTAACCATCACAGCTCCCAACAATAAGTGTTTACATCTTTTTAAAAATTAACATTTCTTTTATCCTGTTTTTAATATCTGCTAGAAGTGGGTAAAGTACCCAAAAATTGTACTTAAGTAAAAAGCAGAGTTTTCAAACTGAGGAAAAGTGAAGCATTTCTCTATTTCTATTCTATTCTGTGTCTGCTGACATTCACTCCACTATTTATTTTATCCCTATAATCTATAAATAAATACACCAACCTACAAAGTGCGTTTAAAACAGTTTTATCAAATCTGTTAATCCCGATGGTGTTACAAACCTGCTCCATGTCGGGTTATTTGAGGTGTGTGGTTCAGATCCAGCAGCCTGTGATCTAAATCCATTTCTTCTTCTTCGGTCGCTTTTTATGAACTCTTTAAGAGGCCGAACTGAACATGTTGTAAACATTCACATGAGCGTCATTCTACGGCTAAAAGGATCTAATTCTACTCACAGACGGGAATCCGATCTATTACGCTGCTATTAATGACTTGTCTCAATATGGCTCTCCGGGGGGAAACTTGAACCCAACCTTTCGTTCCGCTTCACGTTTATCTGGAGAGGGGAAGCGAAAAAGGTCTCTGAATTTAATCATTGCTCCTTACTTCATTTGAAAACCTCCTTGCGAAATTAGTTAGGAAGAAATAAGCAATAATCAATATTTTTAACATAAACCTTAATAACGAACTGTAAGATCTACAGCTAAACCTGACATTAAATTAGTGCATACATATCTACATAAGTACTTGTAGTAAAAGCGTTGCTTAATAAGGTTTTAGTGCAAGATCAATTCAGTAAAATTACATCTTTATTACATCATATATTAGTATGTTTAATATAGCTTTTCAAATATCAGAATAATAAGAAAAAATCAGCACAAATGACTTTTTACTTAAAATTTTTGCAAGTATGCTTTCTGGTCCACTTAACACTTTAGTTTATCTGCATTTAGTTTTATTTGGTTTGAAAACAAATACTACTTTTCTCTGAGTAATGATCTTAACAGTTATAAATAATTCAGTCATCTGAAAAGAGTAAGTTGAATTTACCAAATCTTGAGAAGTTAAAATAAGTTATTTCATGTAATTATTTGACCAGGTAGTTAATTTATTTTTTTAACCATTGTTTTAATTCCAGAATCTGGAATTTTTGAAGAATTTTTTTATCTCGACATGGACTTTGTAATACATTACACAAAATTTATATACACCTAGTGAGAACTAGCAGAGAAAAAGTTTCACAGCATGATAAAAGTAATGAATCTACTTCTTGAGGTCCAAAACTTATTTTCTTCTTCTTTTCTTAAATCCATGAATAGTCACATAAAACTGCATAGTGTGATGAAAATAAAGCAGCAAATATTAAAAATACCAAAGAAATTTTAAATCTTAGCTTAAGATATTAACATATCTGGTATAAAAATGAGTTTTTGTGTTGTAACATTTAAGCACTTCCTTAAATAAATTTTAAAATGTTGATGTCATTTTCAGGAAACGGTATTTATGAATAAAATAAATTAACTATATGAACTAAATTATCATAATTCGACTCTTCATCCCTCGTTAGACGAACACGTTTTCTTAAATTAAAACTTAATAGTGAAATAGATTTATTTTTCAAGATCTATTTTAGTATTTTGAGCTTTTCCGTTCAGTTCCTGCATCTGACCAGAGGGTGGCGCCAGAAATAAACCATTCTTCGACTTCCGCCGCGTAACCTCTGAACCCGGAGGTTTCCCACGTGGTTCAATGGAGGCGAGCAGAGGAAACGTGCAGAAAGCCGAACAGAGAGCCGGGATGAAGAAAACTGAGAAAACGAACAAAAAGAGGAGTAAACAGGACGAGGAGGAAGAGGAGGAGGAAGATCAGGTGAGACTCTCACTGACAGGCAGCCGGAGGAAGAGGAGGCGAACTGGGTGAACTGGTCAGGAACTGGTGGCTAGCTGTTAGCATATGCTAACACAGAGGGCGAAGCAAAACAGTTGAGGGATTGTTTGAGGTTGAAGAAACGGACAGTTTTCTGTTCTGATCAAATCTCTTAAAGGATCATATTTGATCCTTTACGAGCTGCAGACTGGGCCGTGACCTTTAACCTTACAGAGTTTATTAAAGTTATGCCGGGAAGCTGCTGTAAGAGATGACAGCCCACGTAAAAGTTTATTCCCCAACATCAAATAAAACAGTTTTGGACACCTTACAAATAAAATGCACAACATTTGTAATGCTAAATATAACCTGTTCTCTAATTAAGCATAACATGAAACCACCTGCAAACAACTTTTTACAACATTGTTGATTTGAGCAGCACTGTCTACATGTACACACAAATATCCCTCCAGTAAGACTGAGTAAAAAAAAAAGTATTTTATATAAAAGCAGTTTAAGAACAGAGTAACTCTCTGACAGATTGAAACCTCAAAAGGATAAAGCAAAGCAACTCTAATGCAGCTTTCATGTTATCTGTTAGAAGTCTTGCTCTCTCTTGCTCTGCTGCAGCCTGAAGGAACCACAGACTTTTTGCTGAAAATAGTTTTTATTTCAATATCTTCTTACTTCTGGCTTTATTTTTAAAACTGCCTTGATACTAAATGTTACTTACTTTAAAACATCTTCCTTCATTATTAGATTTGTAGTAAATATGGTGCTTTCACTGATCTGGGGGAAAAGGGGGGGATTTCAGGGTTTCTTGGTGCTTTTTTAACATGTCTGACCCTTTAAGATGTTTACTACATTTCGTCTTGGAGTTTGGTGTTAAATGTCCTTTTGCTCCTCAGCTCTTCAATTTGAACAACAAATCTTTGGAAGAAGATGAAGATTTATCAGACAGCGAGGAGAGCGTCTACTCAGGCCTGGAGGATTCTGGGAGTGACCCTGACGAAGAGGAAGAGGAGGGAGAAGATGGAGGATCAGATGATGATGATGAGGATGAGGAGGATGAACAGGACCAGAATGAAAAAGTACTAATTCCTTTGGCAGATAAATTAACTTATGGGAAAAATGTCTTATTAGTAAAACTTGTACATTTTCATCAATAATAAGGAATTGTTTAGTTTAAACAAACCTCTATATCTACTGAAAAGTTGTTAGTTTTGTCTTATTTCAAGTGAGCTAAAATATTTACTCTAGAAATTAGATAAAATTACTTGGTGAGATTGTGTGTGTTTTGCACGTAGTGTAGAAAACAAATAATGTTTTTAAATATTAGGTACAGTTTTAAAAAATGCCGTTTTTAGCTGTTTATTCATTGACTAATTACGTTACCAAGTGTCATTTTTAGAACTATTTTTCATATTACAGTGGAAACTATTGAAAAAAATTTTTAAATGGTGGTTATTGACCATTATATTACTTGAAAATAGCCTAAACAGATTATATCACATTAGCAGCTCTAAAGGAGTTTGTTAGTAGAACTAAGGGGAAATTTTGCTCTTTAGATTGTAAATGTTTCAGACCCCTGATGAACCTGATTGCTGATTGGCTGGTAGAGACTCACCTGTTCAGCTCACCTGATTGGCTGCTGTGGTACTTTTCAGTCGACTGTGAAAAAGAGCAAGAAGAAGGAAGGAGGAGATGAAGAAAAGGAAGTGAAGAAGGAAGACGAATACGACCATGACACGTCAGACGAGGAGGTGGGACGAGTTTTTGAAAATCAGACGCTCTCTGTGATCTCGAGTGTTTTTGTTTTCTCAGACGGTTCATTCATAATCTGCTACATACTCTCAAGTTAATGCAACTTTTTTATTATCAGATCTGAACTACACTTTTTTAAACACATTAAAGCAGTTTTATTGCTTATAAACTGACATACGTTAACAATTATTTATGGTGTCACATAATTATGAATTGAAATTGTCGTCTTTAATGTATTTGTTCTTTTATTTCCAAAGTGTAGTGCTGGAAAATTTTGAAAACTCATCTTGAAAATGCTTGAAACGTGTTTGTGTTTTACTGTGGGAAAAGTGTGTGAACGCTGTGAATCGTCCTGCAGGACATCAGGAACACGGTGGGAAACATCCCCATGGAGTGGTACAAAGACTTCCCTCACGTCGGCTACGATTTAGACGGGAAGAAGATCTTCAAGCCGATCAGGAACAAGGACGAGCTTGATGACTTCTTGGACAAAATGGAGAATCCCGACTACTGGTAGGAACAGGAAGGATGAAAACTGTCTGTTTTCCTCGTAGTTTGACAGGAAGTCATGATGATGCTTTTCTAAACAGGAAAACGGTTCACGACAAGAAGACGGCGAGCGACATCGTGCTGTCGGAGGAGCAGATCGAGTTGGTGAACCGTCTGCAAAAAGGACAGTTTGGAGACGTTAACTTCAATGAGTACGAGGTATTGATGTTTGTTTACTTCAAATTTTAAAACTACTCAAACAAGTAGGACAAGAGGAAGCGTGTGCAAACACATCCAATAACAAAATAATTAGCTTACCAAAACTTTTCTGTTTGTAAAAGAGGAGGAAGAAGTGAGTTTATCTCAGTTTAATGAAATATATCACTTACTGACAGTAATTATCAGAAATATGTAATAAAAAACCTGATATTGAAAGTTTTAACTTTTTTACACACAATGCTAAAACAAGTAAAGAAGTAGAAAAACAATATTTAAATTCCTGTCAATGGCTAGAAGACAAAATGAAGAACGAACACAAGATCATTAAACCTTCGTTTTGTCATTCATGAAGCAGCAGAAAATCAAAGCAGCAGAAAATTTCCTGTTTGTTGTTCTAAAACAAATCTCCAAGGAACTCCAGCTAACACTGTAAACTCATAAAAGAAAACATATTAACATGTCTGTTCACTTTACAGAGCTAAACATCCAACAAATAAAAACAAAATAATTACAAATTGACTTTCACAACAGGACAAGGAACTTTACTGACCCATAACAATAATAATAATAATAATAATAATACAGCATCTGAATAATTATCAACTCCAACAGGTCTTGTAATACACTTACATAATCTAAGTTTTACAAGAAACAAGATAACAGTTTTGTGATATTTCTGCTGACTCTCAGCTCTGCTTCGTCCTCAGCCCACAGTGGAGTTCTTCAGTAATGACGTCATGATTCATCCAGTCACAAACAGACCTGCAGATAAGCGCAGCTTCATCCCTTCACTCATCGAAAAGGAGAAGGTAAAAACCACCAATACACGAATACTTTATCAGCTATCAGCCTCTCACGTCTCTAAAATGTTTGAATTCACCTTCCTGCAGGTCTCCAAACTGGTTCACGCCATCAAAATGGGTTGGATCAAACCTCGGCGGGTCCAGGACGACAGCAGGGGGCGATTCTACGACCTGTGGGCCAATGAGGACTCGTCCATTCTGGCCAAACACAAGATGCACCTGCCGGCTCCTAAGATCCCTCTGCCGGGTCACGAGGAATCCTACAACCCTCCGCCGGAGTTCATGTTCACAGACGAGGAGGTTGGTCTCCTGCTAAGACCAACGGCAATAAGCAATAAATCAGTTAATCCCAAACCGGAAGTTAGAGCACATCACCCAGTTCTACACTGGCTCCCTGTAGCTCAGAGATTAGACTATAAAATACTGTTGTCATAGCAACCTTCCAGACCCCTCAGGTCTTCTGGTTCTGCTTTGCATCCCCAGAACCAAACGTAGAGAAGCAGCATTCAGCTTCTATGCACCACAAATCTGGAACAAACTTCCAGAAAACTGCAAAACAGCCGAAACACTGAGACCCTTTAGATCTCTACTAAAAATCCTCCTGTTCAGTTGCTTTTGATTAGTAGTAAGAGGAACATTGACCAACATATTTGACGATTTTGACTATGGCATTTGCCAAAATGTGATGTTTGTTTGTTTCTGAATTGTCCTGTATAAATGATCCTGACTCGTGTCTGTTTCTTCCTCTCTCCATTCACAGAAAGCTCTCTGGGAGCAGCAGGACCCGTCTGACCGCAAGCTGCCTTTCATCCCCAAAAAGTATCCCAGCCTCCGTCAGGTTCCAGCGTTCTCTCGGTTCATCCACGAGAGGTTTGAGCGCTGCCTCGACCTCTACCTGTGTCCCCGGCAGAGGAAGATGAGGGTGACCACCTGTTCGTTACTCCTCCGTCCAGCAGGTGGAGCCGGTTTGTGGCACTAACGATTCCCCATCTTCCTGCAGGTGAACGTCAACCCAGAAGATCTGATCCCCAAACTTCCCAAACCAAAGGACCTGCAGCCGTTTCCAACAACCCAGGCTCTGGTAAAATAAAAACAAAACGTAAAAGATGCAAAAATTAGATGCTTTCAACTTCGGCGGAATCGATTAATCGATTATTGAAATGATCATCTATTAATTTAGTGACTGATTAGTCATTAACAGGCGATTAAAAAAAAAGGCTATTGTTGAAAAAACAACTAACTTTAAGCAGTAACCAACCAAAAAATGTACAAAAATATAAACTTTATTCATTTAAAATAAAAAAACTTATTTGTGTATAAATATGTTCTCTGCCCAAACCTCCTCAAGTAGCAGTTTTAGCTTCATCTGGTTCAAATTTTGCGGTTAAAAAAACTATTTATAAACTTTTTTTTTTTCCTAATTTATCTTTTTTTCTATACATAA